CTGTATGACCCCAGGAGTCGTATATCTCATCACATGCCAACTGTGTGGGGAGGATTATATAGGAGAAACTGGAAGACCACTCTGCATGGAAACTCCACTCCTCTAGGTGATCACAGGATACAGCACCATGTAAATGAGGGTGTGACAGTCTCTGTTAAGATACTGCCCCGTAAAGACGCTATCTCAGCAAGCAAGTCTGGAGGCACTGTAAATCGCAGCAAAGAATTCAAAAATCAACAAGAAGTATGAATGCATGGCAGAAGTATGAATACCAGGGAGCTCGTCCCATTCGCAGACTTGTGTGGCTTTGATCTACACAGTCGATTCCCCCACAGGGGCGACGGGGCAGGGGTGACAGGTGAAAATACCCAAATTTGCTGATATGGCTATATATACCTTCATTGCATGGACGTCATCGGAAGCGTGTATCAAACTGGTGCGATAAGGCGGTGGAACCTAAGATGACCAAGTACGACTTCATCAAGAAGGAAGAGTTGGAGGAAGATTCGGTAGAGAGAAGAGCCGCTATTCTGGCCGAAGCAACCGGGACCGGGAAGAGCATTAGCGAAGACCACTTGAGCTGATGACTCCCTTCGTCTTCTAAATCAATATGTTGTTCTGAAGTGTCTTTTCATTTGCGCAGCTCGTAGTCCAGCTTAAGTCAGCGTGTTTTGGTAGCTTACACTTAGTCCATTACCACTTATTTCAAGTTTCCTACGTATTCTCAATCGTGCTCACATTGCTCACACCCCGCACCCCTTGGGCCCTATCCAATCCTGCCACCGGCACCTCTTGGGCCCTATCCATTCCTGCCACCAACCACCAATACTCCCATCCTACCGCCTTATCCGATCCAACACTATCCTGGAACACCTTTGGTGACTTACAATTAGTCCATTACCACATATTTTCTGTTATATGGAACGGTTTGAACAGAGTTTCGAACTTCACTGAGGGGCACTTTCCATTGGGGAGCACACATCCCCTATCGTAAGCAGACATTTCCCGGTTTAACCATTTTAGCACACCTTGACCTCGCTCACTCCTACGATTTTTTTCTGACCTCCAGTCTTTTTTGGAGTCGAGTTATGAATGTACATAGAGAGTACCGACAACTTTGGGGACATTCCACATTCACGGGCGGGTGGGTTCCTTCTATCTTGATCTTCGACCCATTTCTCAAGTTTACACATTTTTCTCGGTATCTGGTCTCTTTTGAAACTAAGTTAGGAAGCTCAGCTCTTTGCAGTTCCCATTTCAACTCTTGTAGCGCTCCCTATAGATGAATCTTCGCTTAGCTCATTTATGATCCTACTCTGAGCTCCACTCTTCCTAAAATTGACCTAATTTCTATAGGTGTTGCTTTAGGTAGAACTGTATTTCGTAACGGACAGGCAGAAAAATAGCCGACTGTAGCAGATTTCTCGGAATTGGCTCGGAATTCGTTGCCCTTTTGATTTGCGACCGAGGCTTTCAATGCTTTCTAATCCGACACCAAGTTCATGATGGAGCGCGAAAATATTATCTCGGCTGCTTCATGGAGGGAATTCTTTTCAAAACAGGTGGTGAATGAATTCAATAGCAGGTTAATGATGCGATCAGACCAGCGGATTTGTACATATGAATCAGATTTCAGATGTTTCCAGAGCATTCTATAAGAATTTCATTGTAAACGGACGCACCTGACTTATAGACCCTAAAATGACAACATAAATGCGAACACCTTGTGTGGATTGCGTATTATGTAGGGTATATCGTAAGTGAAGTCTCTCACAGATTCAATGCCGAACATTTATTAAAAGAACGACGAGATCGTGTTCAGCAGGAATGACATGCCATGGGACACTTTGCCAACTTTATTAGTCCTCCTCGTCCTCCTCTTCCTCCTCATCCTCCTCCTCATACTCACTGTACTCGTCCTCATCCTCATAATAGTCCTCGTCAACCAGAGGCTTTCCAGTGGATGAAACTTAATGAAACATCTTCATAAAATTCAGATCTGAAGCTAACACAAAAAATTATATACCGTAACGATGTGCAAGGACAGTTGTTTTTTTATAGGTCCTGCTCCATGTTATTATGGGAACTCGATTTGTGTGTGAACGAAGCTTGAACGTCAAAGCAGCATCCGGTGAGCAAAACCTGCAGAGAGCTCGTCTCAGAATTGAAGCAACACATAGTAGTAGACTAGTAGGAGTAAATTTTTCACTAGATCCCGTTGTCCTGGCTAGACGGTTCATAAAAAGAGACCATTTTCTGACTCACTCTATCCGTAACGGTCCTCAAAACTGATGCGTCATTTAGCGAGCATCAATCTATCCATCCTAACTAATGAATAGCCCTTGTGTTGGTGTATTCCCTGTGTCAATAAGCATAATTCTACCTGTAGCCAGTGAGTGTTTGATCCTTATTTGTCTTGATTTCTACACCAGCAAAGGGGCAGCCTTCAATAGAAACTCCTTTGGTATAATTCAGCAGTACCACTTCGATCAAGGTGTCATTTGGAGACTAGAATTACAGAATAATTACCATTTCGCAGACTACTGCTTTGTTTTGGGACCCACTGGTCCGCGAATAGTTGAAATTTAAAACTCCAAAAAGAGTCAGCATACTTCGATCCAGTAATTACATGTAGAGAAGTCCTCCTGCTTTGTAGTATCTGGACCGGCGATAGTGTCTACGAATACCGTCCAATTCGGTGAGGCTTGAATTATTTCACCGCAACCCGATGGCTGAAAGGCAAACTTTCGGGAAAGCATTCTTCAATGTGCTGACCATTCTGAAGTTATCCCACCTTTTCTGTGCATCTGTCACCTGCGTATCCTCCAGGGCATATACACTTTTTGCAGTCGCGGGGATGAGGGAATCCACCCATTTCGCACTGTACTGACGCCTCCGGGTCGCACTTCTCTGAACCAAAAAATTCACTACACTAGATAAATGCATCTAACAATAAGACATACTTTTGGACGCGGTTATGACTTCAAACTCAATAAAGCTTACAGGTACCTAATTTTTATGAATCCGCTACTAGAGTTTACGGTGCCTTAGCTGATTCTATCATGACAGCTTGTGTCCTTTTAGTTTCATGTGTGAAATTACGTCTTCGGATGAAATCAAGTAATAACCCGTTCGCCATAACCGTATTGGTTCATGATTAGAAAGGCAATAAAATTGTAAAAATTGCGTACTTTTGCAGTTGTAGTGTTCGTTGATCATGGAGAATTCGGTGAACGAAATGAATGGTGAGCCAAGAGTCTGTTGGTAATTGATGTCGAAGGGAACCATCGTAATCTTCGTATTGTTGATTGATCCGCTGAGAGTTAAGATAATTGGCTTCTATTAAGTAATTTGTTTTGAGTTGTATTCAAGAAAACAACCCTGATACGATTCAAACACTTCGAAATTTAGGCTTGAACAATTCAAGGACTCTTATTCACGGAAACCAACCATGTTCCACCGTAGTGCATAACACTGCCGTAGTCATAAGTCATACCGTAGTTGTCGTTTGATTCATTTGTAAACTTCACGAACTGATCTTCCCAGTCTTTCTGGAATCATGTACCTTTTTATAATGATTAAAATATTTTTATGTTTTGCATGCGTAATCTGTGCACTTGGAAATGTACTGCGCCTGAACGTTGCTTTATGGGTCTATGTGTCTATGTCACTCGCATTCGCTGACTACTGGTAGGCACAATCTACAAAACCTTTTTTGAATAATTTCTAGCAAAGTTCAAAGTCGGTTCTGCTTCTAGCTCGAAGCAATATATTGTAGGCATTCTTCCTAACATATTGCTATCTGCGTGCAGATTACTAGCCAGTTTTGTGAGCATTACAGGATCAAATAGTCCAATAGAATAGATTAAGCTACCCCAAGTTTGTAAATTAGCGGTCTTCTGCTCGAAAAAAGTTTGTTGTTGGATTTTTCAATGGATTGGTTATCGTATTGCGCTGAGCCTTGCTGTGCTCACCTCGATATTTTCATTGTTAAGAGTGATGAAGTCGTCTCGATCGTATCGTGACATGGTGTGAAAGAGTCCGAGAGCGTGACCAATTTCATGCGCAGCAGTTCCTATCGTCTCACAGCCATATCCCAATGACAGGTTTTGCTCTCCACGGAGCCTTCCAACCCATGAAAAGCATCCATCTCCAGGGAACACCATGATTGTGTCTTCGGCTGCAATGGTTGTGTGTTCTTCAGATTCCTACTCCTTAGAACAACATGAAAAAAGAGTGATTCTGTTTACAAATTAGGTAAGGATTTTCTTGAAATGTAGCAAATTCTTCTTACCAGATTTGTTTTCTTTGAAATTGATGCAGGTGTTGTTTTCCCATAGTTTTGCTGCTTTGACGAACACGCTTTTCACTTCTTCACCTACACACATTCATTACAATCGCATTCTGATGCAATAGATCGCAAATCTTTCCTTAACTTACTTGCCGTCTCGTCAAAGTAATAATTCACTCCTTCTGACCATATCGTTGACGGATAGAGTATATTTTTGTATGCTTGACGTTTTGAACGGGTCCCATTACTCGCTTGTTGCTTTATACCTTTGATTATCTCGTCCGCTTGAGCACTTTAGAAGAGTGAGNTGGTAGAGAACCTTGTCAACCTCAGTGTTCGCGTTGATCTCAGTGACAGTGTCTCCAATAGCTTGCACTTTATCTCTCTTGAACAGTCGTATTTTCTGTAAATTTCAGATTTCAAACTGAATGGTTGTTGGTGTAGAGATGGCAGAGGGTTTTTTGATGTGTGCAAATTTTCCTAAAAGAGTACCTCTGTACCGTAACTTTGACACAGAACAAAAAATACAAAAAGTAAAGCAGGACAAGTTAGTGTCACTAATTAACGTACCTTCAGCCTTTCTTTGAGGGACTTCAACATTTCTGGTGTCAGCTGCAGCAATTTTAGCGCTTTGTTCTTCACCTTTCTGAATTTGTCGCGAATTTTGACCAATCCCATCTTCATGAGGAACTGTAATCACATGAGAAACATGAAGACTAATAGCATAAGTGGGAAAGAAGTTCTGCCATACTTGACCTCGGACGTAGAATATCTTTAAAAAACCTAAAGAAACCTTTTGGAATCCAATTTTTGTTGCGTTTTTCAGTTTTTGTGCGTAATGGTGTCCAGTGCTGAACATTTCTTTCGTCTTTTCCTTTATCCTGCTGAAGAAACCTGCGCTAACAGCGGCAGCCAGTAGTAGGATTAGTAAAGTGAGCCTCATTCCGAATGATAGCCTGAATTCATGTAAATATCATTAGAGGATTCAGTTTTGGGCAGGTTTTCTCGTTGACTAAAGTGATGATAGATCAGCATCTTCCTCTATGAACATCAAATGTTCACATTTGAGATTTTGGGGATGTTGTTAATAATTTGTGAAACTGCGTAATTACGCAGTGTGTCTCAGCCTTCCTGAATAGCAGCAATTTTCCCCAAAAATTACACAGTGGATCTATCTGACTCAATTTTTAGCGACCTCTGTGACCGCACTTCATTCCAGTAGTCTTTCATGAAAGTTCATTGAGAGTATCGCTCCGCAAATGAACGGCTCTGAAATACTGGGTTTGGAGTTGATATTTTGACAGAACTCACTTACGCGAGCTCGAGCGGAAAGCTGAGGACTGCCAATTGAGAGAGGATGAACGAATGCATCTAATGTACCGCTCTTTTAAAGTCAGACCTTCTCTTTGTCTATACATGTTTGGTTTGATCTGACGGCTGAAGCAACAGCCGTATGCACTCATCGTCCCAGAAACAAAGCAAACTTTCCATACATAATATTTTTCCCGTGGTTTGCACAAGATAAAAACCAAAAAAAAACTGTGCTCTAGAATCCGGACGGCATTAATTTTAGAAGTTTTGTATCCTACGCTGTAAACTGTCCTAGCTCTCATTCATCCAAGGGCAAGAATTGCTCACAACGAGGGAACGAAAATGAATGGCTGAATGAATAAATGAATGAATGAATCTCAGGAATGGGGTACTAATTTTGTGCAATTTTCCTCCGGCTGCACTGGACAGGTAGGAATATTGGCGACTGAGAAGGATGCCATATTGTTCAAAGCCGAATTACTGCACAACCTATGAAATTAATGCCATCCTAATTGTGAAGCACATTTCCGCTGGTGCTTTTTTTGTGAAAAACCATGGAAAGGATATCATGCATGGAGAGTTTGCTTTGCTCCTAGGACAAAGTGCATGTACGGCTGTTGCTTCAGCCGTCCGATTTAACCAAATATGTCCGTCTCACCGTAGCAAAGGTCTGTTTGCTGAAGAGGGGGCAATAGTTACATTTCTATTAGGTCGTGAAGAAAGTTTTTGCGTTTTTGACGCCCAATTTGCAAATGCTCGCCGCAGTGTTATTTGCTATAAGACTGTTTGTAAGCTTTATACCATTCTGAAGCGCATTTCTTACTTTATCCAAATATATAATTGGCTTTGTCCTGGAATGATTCCTGGGGTTTTTTAGAAGGTCGAAATCAGCACGGACAAATGACAGATTCGCACGATTTATCTTTGGGTGTGTGTCAAGTCGTGCGTCCGAGGGTGCGCGCGGCAAATTGCGCGGCGAAGTTCGTGGCGAATTTGGACGACTCCGGCGCCTATCATTGGGGCCCAAATCTGAAGTAAGGTAGGTTACTAAGGTCAACTGATCCTACTATTCTACTGTACTTCGAAACTGGGCCCAAATAGTAGGTGCTAAAGCCGTCAGAATAGCTATGGGTTTCGCCGCGCAATTTGCCGCGCGCACACTCGGACGCACAACTTGACCGTCCCCCTTTATCTTTTCCAATTCAAATTAGGCAGGAGTGCGACGGAAACGTCCCGGGATACCAACGATGCCCTTGGTTTAGGTACGACGAATTAAAGTAGAGCACAGTGGTGTTTAGAAAAATTCCGTATCCGCAATGAGAGCCTGGAAGATG